TAACCAGTCGTTGGATTCATTTGAATTTATGAGCAGTGTGATTTCAAAATGTGGCGGATTTGAAAATGTTATAGCCAATGTTGCCACTTTTTCAGTTATTCCGGAATTTTATTAACTTCCTCATTTTGAATAAAACACCCTGTACTTTATTGGATTTTCAGATACTCCTTGAAGAGCTGGTTCCATCGATCTATCACACTTGGGGTCTACAGGGAATGATTACATAGGTATAGGATGTTTAAAATCTAGATTTTTCAACTTCAGGATTTTTTTGTATCGAAACTATCCATTATCGATCAAAACCGCTCTAATATTCCTATCTTTACTTTTGATTTACTATCTGCTGACATTTAAATGGAACAGATATAGAGGGTGATCAGAATTCTGAATCTTGAACCACCCTGTATTTGTTCCAATTAAATGTCAGTAAATTGTAAATCAAAAGTAAAGACAGGAAAATTGAAGCGGTTTCGATCGATAATGGATAGTTTCGACACAAAAAATCCTAAAGTTGAGAAATCTAGATTTTAAACACCCTATACCTATGTAATCATTCCCGCTAGACCCCCAAGTGTGATAGATCGATGGAATCAGCTCTTCAAGGAGAATCTGAAAATTCAATAAAGTTCTGGGTGTTTTATTCAGAATAAGGAAGTTAATAAAAAATCCGGAATAACTGAAAAAGTAGCAACATTGGCTATAACATTTCCAAATCCGCCACGTTTTGAAATCGCAAAGAGATATTCACCTGTTTCCATACATATCAGCGACCCTGTATATGTTTCATGATTCAATGTCAATATTTGTAGAGGCGATTCGTGGGTCAATTTCAAGAAGGAAATTTAATATGAATGTATTATCTAAACGTCTTAACTTTTGAGAATCAGGGTGGTAAAGTTCGCAAAAATTAACAGTTTTCATCAATATATGAAATATACCGGGTGACCCGGAACCAATATACCCCCCTGTATCTTCGTTATTATTTTATATGGATGTTTCAAATTCGGTACTTCGATTTGATGTTATGAATGTACAATTTAGCAAGTATCAATCCAATTATGACACTTCCGGTTTTACAATATGTATTTGATTTTCTAACCAACTTTAAAAATTCCTATTTATTGATGTTGAAAAATTAAGTAAAACTAAAATTATAAAAATAATTAGTCTGCATAAAACTTATTGTGTAAAAAGTTTGGTCATGAATTATTGTTGCTTACATGATATTGTTCAATCTTCCACAGCATACTTTCATGAAAATGTTCCGTTACGAGGGGAACACAAAAAGTATTTTTTTATAAAATGTCAATTATACCAGCAGATTGTAAATTGAAAGTATGATTGTGATATGTCATTGTAAAGGTAATTCTATACCGAATTGTAATTTTCAAAAAATAATGATACTTCCTATTCGTAATATAAAAATTGGATGCGCTTCCGGTCAAACCGGAAGTGACATATTCGGATTGATACTTGCTAAATTGTACATTCATAACATTGAATCGAAGTACCGAATTTGAAACATCCATACAAAATAACAACGAAGATACAGGGGAATAAATTGGTTCCGGGTCACCCGGTATACCACTTTAGATATTCTGATGAAATCTGGCATACATGTACTATGTATCAAGAAGCATCAGTTAGTGTACCCAATTGTTTTTTGCAGCCACCAGTGGCGTTCGTATAGAATTTCACAAACATAATTTGGCGAACATTGATGGTACGCCGCTGAAAATAAAAATTATCCCTGATAATCTCAATCATTCCTTGGCAAATTTGATCTTCACAACTATTTCAATCTGATGCACGGTTTTCGTTTGAAAAATAAAAACCTTTTCACTGCATGATCATACCAATATCGTTAATATGACAAAATCACAATGCAGAAAAATAGATTTCTAACTATGGATGTCTGCCAAATTTTATTAGAATATCCAAAGTGGTGTAACAGATATTAAGAATAAACTATTCAATTTTGAAAAATTTACCACCATGTATCTCAAAAATTAGGACATTTTGGTCATATGTTCATATGAAATGTTTTTCTTAAAATCCAAGAATCGCCCCTTCAAATATTGACAATAAATTAGGAAACACCCTGTATACATAATGGCTGCAGTAAGGTATATCATTGATGAAATCAACGTTACCATGGTAACTCAGTGTATTATTTTGAATGGGAGTTAACTATTATTCGCGGGAATCAATGTTACGGCAGGTGGAGCTCGGTTTTCATCATTCCATGTCCAAGCCACGTCAAAACTGGGGGAAAACAAACTCAATCCTCACTCGATCCTATTAGTGCCATCAGCTTGTGTACTGTGTACTGATAAGAGTGATAACACTTTATGTCATTGACAAGTTGGACAACTACAGCTACAGCAAGATGTATGCAATGTAGTTTACGCACCTCATCCATAGACAACAGTTTGTTTTCCCCCAGTTTGAAGTTCGTATTATGTAACCTAGATGTCGCCCACTTCGTGAATCTCGCGAATACAAGGTTCAGGGAGAACTATAGATACCAAAAAAGTCTGATTGAAATCAACTCACCGTGAGTGGGAGATGAACAATAATTTCATTTACAGATTTTCCTGAATATTCCAAAATCCTTGAAAGGTACGGCTCTAAAATTCATAGGGTGATTTACTATCATGAATGTGCATTGAAAAAATACCAGTTTGGTTCTTTTTAGTTCTCGAGATATCTAGCAAATTTCATTTTGGTGGTTCCCAACTCTCGTTTATGATGTCGGGATTACTTATAATATTTTGTAAATTTCTACTTCATTTCTGTTGAGTTATGGACTACAATATCCATTTTCACAGTGTTGGAAGGAAATTCCAGTAGATAGTGAATCAAAAGATTAGGTATGGACATATGTAAGCCGTTTTGATCGATAATGAATAGTATCGACACAAAAAACTCCTAAAATTGAAAAATCCCGATTTTGAACACCCCATATCTCTTTGATCATTCCTGCTACTTTACGTCCAGTCGTGCATAAAAGTTTTTTCCTACGACTACTACTGTAAGTGATGGATATTGTACACAAAACAATGAGAGTAAGCTTCTCCCTGTGTCCTTACACACGTGTGCGTAAAGAGAGCGATCGCACGGTTTTCATAGGTATGTTGATAGATGACTTTGTTTTGTTGCTTAGGTGATGTGTCAATAACAATTAACAATTTCATCAATGTCACTAGCTAGATGGGTAGGTACTTATCTTTTTATCAATCAATCCAGCTATCCACCGAAACCGAAAGCATCAGGAAAGTTATATTTTTTGAAAATATGATTATTTTCTATTGAGAATCCCCAATTTCAGTTGAAAAAAATGATGTCAAGCGATGACGATGAGCAGATTATTTCTACACCACCAGAAATGTTGGAAAACGCTAGAATGGTAAAAAATGAGTTACTACCCGCTAAGTCTCGTAAATGATACGAAATAGCACATCAAAAATTCCTGGACTGGAGAATTAAAGAAAATATCGTGTCATTTTCGGAAAATATCCTTTCAGTATATTTTCAAGAATTACCAAATTTCATGAAATCATCATCACTCTGGTCGATATATTCCATGTTACGATCAACACTAAATATCAATCACAATATAGCAACATATCCCATTTCCTCAAAAGGGAAGGATGGATTCCGAAGTAAAAAATCAAAAATACTTGATGCTGAACAGATCAATTACTTTCTGCAGAATGCTCCTGTTGAAGGTGATTTTTCAAAAAACATACATACTCAACATTGAATTGATGAATTCCTTTTTCTTTAAATAACAGGAATAATTAAAAAAGATCCATCTTCGAGATTATATTAATAAAACTATACTACGGAGAAATGGTGATTGTTCAGTTGTTGGAAGCGCTGGCTCCGAACCCAAAGGTCGGTATGGTTCAGAGCGCAGTTGGAGAACTTTTTTTTATTATTTTTAATAACGATTACAGAATCTTTCGTGCTGCACTGTTACAAATAAATAATCATTATGAATGTTAATTTTATATTTTTATACAATGTGTTTTTGGCTACCCATTAATTGAGCTGTTTAGATATGAAAAACGGCTCCTTTTCAGTTCGAATTGAGGAAAATGTCTCAGTATGCAATGTATCAATAAACAACAATTTGTAACTTCTAATGCAGCTGGCTTAGTGACGGAAGACGTTTTATATTGGTATTCGTTATTTGCGCCTTAATACAATATCTGCACTATCCGGAAGAAAATATAGTGTAGTCGTAGAAAAAGTATAGTACAATTCTCGAGTTGTAAAGCAGTTACACACTCGCCGCTATGCGGCATCGTGTGTAAGTCTCTCCACTTCGTGCGTAATATGCGTTTTACAACTCTTGTTATGTAATATACTATTAATTCGCACCTAAGGAGTGACACACTTCTCCACTGGGATGGTAGTTCTAGTTCCCCCTGAAGTGACTTTATAAATAGAGTGCCGACAATAGTTGTACACTTTTTGATTGATCAGACATTCAATATGGAGGTGCATCCACCTGTCTTGTTTTCATGACAGACATTTCAGACATGAAACTCAGAACGTCAGTACCTTGAATATTAACCATTAGAATCGATCTTTTGGGACTCGTAAGTCTCAGATTATTTAGATGATGAAATAAAAATATCAAATAGCTAAACCTTATATCTGGTGGGCACTTCGAAGAGGCAAATTCATTAAAGCGTGGGAGACACCCTTTAGATTTTTAGCAATTGAGTGAATTGACATTCCGGACATGGCAGCATTGGCAGCCATTTGGCTGCCTATTGTCGTCACTCTATTTATAAAGTCACTCTAGTTCCCCCTAACTCTATGTAACATTTGTGCCAAAAGTTTTTAAATCACCCTGTAGATAATTTGGATATGCTTCGCAGTGAAGATATCAATTTTGTTTTCGATGATACCGAATATATTTTCAAGTCTCAATTGGACTTGAAGGATCATCGAGAGTGTAGATAGAAAATTAATTTAGCTCTTACCTTTCATATGACTGGTTCAGTCCATCCAATTTCTCGGACAATGCATCTGCTGATGGTTTGGAGCATTCCCTGAGGAACATAAGGACTGTACTAGATAATCCATTCACTTGTTCTAGGTTCGTTCTCAATGCAAGTACTTCAGATAGCAGTTCCTGTAACAAACAATAATGGTTACCTACTGAAAATTCACACATTCAAGTATGACCGATTGAACATGTAAAAAATAAGTGCTAATATTAGGCTTTTTCCGTAATCAAATGGCACTTTTGATTCACCCAAAATTTGATTGCCACAATGTTCTCTGAACATACCCGAACAATGCGTTGTTGACAAATAATGCTATTCGATGAGTTTTTGAATTTCTTGACATTCATTGTCAATATTCGATCGACAATATTTGGCAGATATTTTGCTCTATAAAAATGAAAAAAGCCGACCAGTAGTGGAAGGAGAAGCAGTTCTCCATGCTAATTATGTGATTTTGTGTGAGGCAGAAGAATTCAACAAAAGGCACATTTTTGCACATGAAGTAAAATTGAAGTTGGGGTCCAGAGGAGCTCCTGTAGAACAATGGATTTGTATTTGTTCCTGCAAAGCAGGCCAATCTGGGTATTGTGAACATGTTGTAGCTGTTCTTTTATATGTCAATTGATTTGCTCGTCATAATTAGTTTGAATTGTTGATCTCCAATTCTTCACCCGTTCACTGTTCACTAAACTAATAAAAATGTGATAATGTAAAAAAATTAACCAACTTAACCATCATCACTACCAACAGTGCCAACACTTTGGAGTTGAAGAATAAAAAAGCTTACTTAGACTATTTCAGAGATTTTCAAGGGATAATTCGCCGTCTCGAATTTTCAAATTTTGACTGATGAATCTCTGACCCCGAAAACCCCCAGATACCAATTTTGAATAGAATTGGATTATGAAATTACAAAACTCGTCTACCATATAGGTTACGCCATCTTGACTTCTCTAATTTTGACGAAAGAATCATAATCTCCAACCGCGAAAACCCCCAGATACCACTTTTGAATAGAATTGGAATCGGATCATAATTACAAAACTCGTCCGACATATAGGATCAGCAACCCCCTTTTTTGCCTGAAGAAACATAATCTTCGACCCCGAAAACCCCTGGATAAAAATTTTGAATATATTCGGATCATAATTAGAAAACTAGTCCAGGATATTGGATCCGTCATCTTGAATTCACCAATTTTGACGAAGGAATCATAATGCTCAACCCCAAAAATCTCTAGATACCAATTTTGAATAGAATCTGATCATAATTACAAAACTCGTCCGCCATATTGGATACGCCACCTGGAATTTCCCAATTTTCATGAAGAAACCATAATCTCTGTTCTCGAGGACCTCCAGATACCAATTTTTGAATAAAATCGAATCATAATCACAGAATCCGCCATATTAGTTCCGTCATCGAAAGATGTCATTTCCAGGAAAACTGGAAGATGAAAAAAAAATCCTGAAATGTGGAAAAGTGTCCTCTAGCGAGCATATTCGATATAACAAATTTCAGGAATATAACTGAAAAGCAAAGGAGAAAAGGGGGGTAAACCATAAGCCTGTGTCACCCGGTACTCATATAGATTGAATATTCAAACATAATTTGTGTTAGAGTCGTATTGAAAATGTATTTTATACTTTTGAGGAGTTTGATAATTATTGATATCTAACTATGTATTGCCAAAGTATCTAATGTGTCTGTATACATGTTTCATTTTTTTTGTGTCTGTGACTTCACGTACATTATTTTAGCATTGTATTTGTGAACATTCCTTCCTCTGACTAGTCTCATAAGCTTTATACATTATGTATGACCCATACCTTGTATAATCTTTGATTGACGAATACATTTATCTTATCTATCTTCTCTTATCTTATCTAAAAAAGCCAATTCATCAACATACTAACCTCAACACCCGCCTTGGCAGCGATCGCATGCTCCCTGCTCCGCACCACCCCCTCCACGTGCTCTGCCCGCTCCTGAGCCCCCGCCAGCAGCCCATCGAACGCTCGCCAAGCGCCCTCGAATAGCTCCCACGCGTGCGCCGCGTCGGTGAGGGAGCCGCGACGCTCCTCCAGGCCGGCCAATAGCGCCGTCCATTCGGCGGCTGCGGCGTCACTGCGGCTGCGGACGACGGCGCGGTTGCGCTCGTCCGCCTGCTGCGTGATCTCGGCGACGCGTTCGAGCAGGAGGTCGAGGTCCAGCTGTTGATTCTGCGCAGAACAAAAAAAAATATGTACGGAACGAAAAGAAATAATTTCAATATAGTACAATCAAATGGTATTTTCACTTGGAGAAAATTCAAGTAGTCGGTTTCTTTGTGTTTTCATATGTTTCTGGAGGTGCTGAATTCGAATCTGTATTTTGCAAACAAAATTTCCTGGAGCGTTCCGAGATATTCGCAAAAAACAGTAAGATTCTCGGACTTTTTCCGGTTTTTTGCCGTAACTCGGAAATTATACATTATATCGAAAATACCGTTCCATAGAAAGTTGAAGTAGATAAAATTTCCTAAATATAATTGTAATTATTCATGAATGTAGGACTAACGAGTGCGGAGATAGAGCCAGTTGAAAATTGACCAAATTTGAGTATTTTTAAAAAAATAGCGTTTCTCGTCGGTTTTCGCAGATAATTCCAAATCTACGCATTCCTCGAAGAAACAAACTATACTGCCTGATGTGGAAGAGTCCTAGCCATGTGAGTTCTAACTTCTGTCAGCATGTAACTCTTGACTCTCGACTTGTTACTGTACTTGAGTATAGTCACATCAACCAGGAAGAATATCGTTTTTCTCCAAATGACATCAAAAGTGGTTTTTTAATGACACTCAACAGGCAGAAAAGGTGTACTTTTACTGCCTAGGCAGAAGAAGTTTGTTGCTATGCAACGTTCCAAGTAATGATTCGAATCAAATTGGTAATCAAAATTGACACTGACGTTGGGTGAGCAGAAAATGATGGATTATTCGGAGTTTGCATGGAATTGGACGAATTTGGAGAAAAAAGAATATGTTTCACACGACATAAAAGCAGATTTAAGGGCGCGCATCACAGTGAAATAGTTCGCCCACAGACACCAGTGAAACTATATATATATCACAGCCGTCTAGTGGCGCCATAATTATAGTTTCATGAATTATTTCTACAGAATCCTTTAGATACATTCAATTCAATCAATAGGGAACCTCATCAATAGATGTCTCTGAATAATGTTTGTGGCTGTACTAAGGGAACAGGTACAAAGTCACCTACAGTGTTGCCAGTATTTAATCAGAGTACGTCGCCAAATTAGTAGTAGTAGAAATTCATAAGTGGAATGATATATTTCACATTATTATATTTACCACCTAGTATTCCCATCCTGTGATGACCTCACCATAGAATGAAAGTCATACGATAGTTTTTATCTAACATATATTATTGATTCTCTGTCACAGTGTTTGTGGCCAAACTCCCCCGAAACGGCTTGACCGATTCTCATGAAAATTTTTGTGCATTTTTGGTAGGTCTGATAATCGATCGTAAACTATTTTTTAAATTGGAAACTCAATATGGCGGATCCAATAAGGCGGACGAGTTTTCTAATTATGATCCGATTCTATTCAAAATCTCTGTATCGGGTGGTTTTCGGGAATGAAAATAATGATACTTTCGTCAGAATAAGGAAATTGAATATGGTGGATCCAATATGGCGGACGAGTTTTGTACTTGTGATCCGAATATTTTCAAAATTGGTATCTGGGGGTTTTCGGTATCGGAGAATATGATTCTTTTGTCAAAATCAGAAAAATAAAGATGATGGATCCAATATGGTAGAGTTTTGTAATTATAAAAAAATTCCAATACCTACCTCCTATCCCTATCCTCTCTAGGAACGCACGATGTTCTTTGAACATTACTTTGAACATTATAGGGATTCCCTATCGTGCGCTCCGAGCGAAAAAAAAATCCTATTCTATTCAAAATTGGTATTTGGGGGTTTTCGGTATCGGAGTTTATGATTCTTTTGTCGACATTTAAAAAATAAAGATATCGGATCCAATATGGCGGACGAGTTTTGTTCATGATCCGATTATTTTCAAAATTCGTAGGTATCTGAGGGTTTTCGGCATCGGGGAATATGATTCTTTTGTCAAAATCAGAAAAATGAAGATGACGGATCCAATATGGTAGAGTTTCGTAATTATAACCCTATTCTATTCAAAATTGGTATTTGGGGGTTTTCGGTATCGGAGTTTATGAATCTTTTGACAAAATTAGGAAATTGAAGATGGCGGATCTAATTTGCATATTGGATCCGGATCTATATAGGTTTTCGTTGAAAGGGATTTTCTCTTTTTATTTCAGACTTCTGTGGCCAGAGAATGAAGAAGTTATACGTATCATATTGTACCTTATTTTGGTTCTTATAATCATTTGAACTTCCCGGAGATTTTGAAGTTTTTGTTGACATGTTTTCTCTGTGCGTTTTTGAAACATTTCAGACACATTTACCTGATGAAAATAGATTAGATGTTTATGATATATTTTTATCAAAAATTTTTCCCATATGATGCCAACTTTATGAATGATACTGTAGAGTGTAGAAACATAATATAAACAAAACACCTGCTAACGTCAAATGGATGTCGCTCTGTGCGGATGACTCGAATCTACTTGGATGGTGAAGCCACAATAAAGCCATTGAATTTGGACTCGCGATACTCATCTCACTCCCAGAAGCCCATCAAGTCGTCTCAATAAGTCGCCTGTCGCCAAGTTCAATTTTTGGTCGCCAAAATAGGTTCAGAGATAGCCCAATTGTCGAGAAATCGCCCATACTGGCAACACTGGTCACTTATCGATTTTTCTTTGAAGTCCAGTTGGAATCGTTCGGGGAATCACACACACTGCCTGATACCGCGACACCGCCCGCTCCGCCAGTTGCAGTGCTGCCAGCGTTCTGCTATTTTATATTATAACACTGATGTTTTTGTATATATCAGTAGGGGTCAATCGTTCATGTTCATGACATTTCCTTAGACCTGGCATCACTGGTCACTGGTTGAAACTAAGTAGCACCAGATTTCTAATTCAGCAAATGAGAAAAGGAGGAAAGGATTGATTACTTGCTTTCATAAAAAATTATCTTTTGAGTTTCATATGGGCCTATCACAAAAGACAATATTTTGTTTATGCCTACACTAATTTTTAATTATGAATATTACCTGTCATGAGTGGATTATGTATACTTACTTCAACACCAGTTTTTTGAATGGGAATTCAAGATAATCAAAACTATTTTCTATAAATTGGAAGAAAAGTGGTGGTTACGTTACGATTGAGATATTGGATATGAGAATTTCTCAATTTTGACCAAATGATCATAATCTCCGACCCCGAAAACCCCCAAATACCAATTTTGAATAGAATTGGTCGATAATTACAAAACTCGTCCGCCATATTGAAACCGCCATCTTGAATTTCCCAATTTTGACTAAAGATTCTGAATCTGTGATCCGAAAATCCCAGATACCAATTTCGAAAACAATTGGTCTATAATTTCGGAACTTGTCCGCCATATTGGATCCGCCATCTTGGATTTCCAAGTTTTGAAGAAATTATTGTTATCTCCGACTCCGAAAACCCCCTAGATACCAATTTTGAACAGAATCGGATTATATTTGAACAACTCGTCTGCCATATATATTGTATCCGCCATTCTGAATCTCCTCATTTTGACGAAGAAATCATAATATCCGACCCCGAAAACCCTCAGATGCCAATTTTGAATAGAATCGGATTACAAAACTCGTCCGCCATATTGGATATCCGCCATCTTGAATTTTCAATTTGAAAAATCGTTTACGACTGATTCTCAGACCTACCGAATATGCACAAAAATCTTCATAAGAATCGGCCAAGCCGTTCGGAGGAGTTTGGCGTCAAACACCGTGACAGGGACACGAGAATTTTATTTATTAGATTAATATTATCAATCAACAGAGTCAGTTATGCAATACACTCGATAGACTATAAAAAGAAAAAAAGCGCAATTACTTACTAAAAATAGCAATGACGCAAAACGAAGTTAAAAAGCGCCTTATTGGCAACACTGTTTCCCAGACCCAGAAAGAAGAAATGAATAGAAAGAGAACTGTAATGTTTGTATTAGTTCTTGAAGGAGCGCAGCACGGTAGTTTCACTGTGTAGCCCTCTGAAAGACAATAGCTGAACTACTCTGCCACTGTCGAAACCTCGCTAACAATATGGCGATATTGAAAATAGATGCAGAAACGTCAGAATTAATTTTACGAACAATACATTCCCAAACGACAATGTTCCAGAAGCTGATTATTTCATCAAAAATTTATTGAATTGCTAACTTAGGATATGCCAGGTTTTTATTCGATTCTGTTACACAAACGTTGTCAATGTTATTGTTTTTCATTACCATATATTTTTTTACACAAATCGAATTTCGCTGGAAAATTCCTTCATATCCTATTCTCAACCTTCGTCTTTAATATGTACCAACCACTTTTGCGCTTACACTTATAGTTTATTAATGATTTGGTACCAAACTGACCTCTGCATGGCAGTTTTGACTGATGCGCCCTCTTAATGCCTTGGTTGGTTTCCTAGCCTCAGCTACGCCTTGGCAGAGGTTTGCAAACGTTTATTGACACCAGCAAGAAGAGGAATGATGGGAAGGCAGTGTTTTTCAAAAGGATAACTACAATTGAGATTCATGAAGTTTGCAGGAAGATAAATATTGCTTTTCTTGTCGAATGAGTTTGTGTGAATTATTGAATCAAATTCAGAATGACATTTTTTCAGTAAAACTTACTATATATAGGCGAAAAATTGGAAGTCCGCCATATACCTAATGTGATCAAATCTGAAATGGTTGCTTTTAAACATAAGTATACAATAACTCTCCAAATTTCAGAAAAATCCGTTTAGGAATGCGGAAGTTACAGGGGTTATCCGATACCGTGTATCACCAGGTATAATAAAATAAATAAATTATTCTCAATATCATGTCAATCAGATTACTCTGTGCGTTGGTATCAAGATGAATAGGTGAACAACAAGACCCTTACATAACAGGACCATTTCAAAAAAATAGTTTTCAACATAAATCGATAATATTTAATGCCGGTATCAGATTAGATATCTACGTATATATGTATCGTCATTGTTAAATTGAATCTAGATATACCCTGATA